GACAAAGGAAAAGCAAAGGAATAGCTTGGAGAGCAAATAAAAGTTAGAAATAATTCCACACATTTACACTCATCCCATATTATTCCACTGGCATCAGCAGTATCATTCGCCTCGGGCCAGACTTTGGCAGACTTCTGGAGTCAACCTATTCAGACCTCCTGGCTATGAAAGTCTGACATGAGGTTTGATCCAATGGACAGAGACCTTGCTGTCTGAGTTAATGAATTCAACACTGAACCAAGTATACTTAGCAGCAACAGACATGGTCAGACAAGCCACAGCATCTGCAAATAATTGTGGCCTTGAAACCCATACGTCTCTTGATCTGTCAGAAAGCTGTGAATACATGACTGGAAATTATCGACCTCTGGTCAGTGTCAAAGGCACAAAGAACGGACAAGCCCGAAGGTCATAAGAGGAAGGAAAAGAAAATCCTAGAAGGAATAATGCCCTGCAAAACACTGGGCATGCACAATGATAAAAGGCAGATATTCACTCGCAACATGTGAGCAGCGATAGTTTTATATATTTATAATTTATTTTTATTTTAAATCTGTGTTGTGATTTCATAACGGAAATAACGTGGGCCAGCTCAGTATATGCACAATGCATCTTGCCAAAAATGTCAGCTGTTTGGAAATACAGGGTGATTCAAAAAGATTCATCCGATTTCAAAGAACCATTTTTTTAAATCCGTGATGTGCCTAGGAACCAATCACAATCCAATTGAAAGAGGGGGTCATAGAGTTTCTGACTGTCAGTATAGCGGTGAACCTCCAACAGCTCACGCATTCGTCATTGGTACCAACTCTTCCAAGAAAAAGGTCACCAGTGTCACCAGATCTCACGCCATGTGACTTTATTTGTGGACGTACGTTAAGGATTATGTTTATGTGCCACAACTCCCAACAACACTGGATGATCTCCGAAATCGCACTGAAAGAGCCGTGAGTGCAGCAACACCCGACATGCTCAATTAAGTATGGGATGAATATGACTATGGTGTTGATGTTGGCTGTACAGCTGGAGGAGGTTCATATGGAGCACTTGTAAAATTACATAATAAAGTTTATGCTCATTTAAACCATTTACAATTTGCAGCATTGTTCTGTAAAGATTTACAAGTGAAATAAATCGGATGAATCTTTTTGAATCACCTTATATATTAAAGATGTCAACATTTCAACCTTTAAACATCCAGCAAAGTCCGAATGTAAAAAAAAAAAAGATAAAATATAATAAAACATGCCTTAAAAACCGCTGATCAGATCCAAGAACTGTCTGGCTGTGGTCCTAAAATTGTAATGAGTACATGATGCCCTAAATGTACCTAAAGCCCTTGATTGACATAATTCAGTCCAACATTCCCATCCAGTAGTGTACACCACTGGAGCAGAACTAAACAAAGCAGTGCGAGCAAAGAGAAATGAGTGAAATGAGCTCTACGTAGTCAGGTTGTATTGAAGAACCTGCAGCATCCACTCTTTAAGAACCTCATCTGGCTTTTATATGGCAACATCTTAGTTTTTATACATGTTACTGCTGGATTTGCATTCTGTGGCTGGCTAAACGTACGGATGGACAGATGAGTCAGCTTGAAATCATATTTATTGTTATGCCTGGGAGGTTGTCGGTTGTTAACTTTGGCCCAATCCCATTTCACCCCTCGTCCCTACCACTTAACCCTACCCCCAGTTTTGCATGTCCATGCCTAGGTGTTGGGTGTCCTGATTTTTGTTGAGATAGAGGGGTAGGGTGAAGTGTTAGGGCTACACGGCCCTCCAAACGGAGGTTTTTGAGAGGCACACTCCAAACCAAGAGTTATGAGGAAAAAAGAAAAAATGGCAAGATGGCTGAACGAGAGACCAAAGAAACCCACAAATGTGAGAATTTTCTCTGTTACAAATGATGATAACCTTTGTATTATCTTAGTTCAATGTCGTTTCAATGTATTATGGCCCTTTTCTTCATAACAAGCATAAAAATTCCTAGTAGTACGCTGATGTCTTGGTAGCTAGCTAGCTAATTTTCCCCGTCCCACCCCTATACGGTGCAGCAGTTACATTCCGGCACCTCAGGCATCAGAACTGCTCTTTGAAGGCATATGATGCCCTAAATGTAACTAAAGCCCAGCAGTGAGGAGCTGAACTCTACCCTCCTCTGCTGTCACTGCAGACTGGCAGGGTCGCCTACAGAGCAGCGCTGGTAGCTGTTAATGAAGTGATGCTCTTTTTATTGAGAGTTGTGCCATTTTGTAGGGGAAGATTTCAACCACTAGCCCTTGTAATTCAGTTCCAAGGGGCAAGAAGACACTCAAAAACAAGGGGTAGGGGTAAAAATAAGAAATGGGACTGGGCCTTACTCTGTGTCAACTTCTCAGACTTGAACAGAGAAAAAGGAACTGTTAAATCTGTGTAAACAGCAAAATCCACATCAACCTTATGACTTTTGAGGGTACTGCTTACGTGGGCACTTCCCGAGATTATCCCTGCCCAGTTTACACCTAAAGAAGAAATACAGGCCATTTACTGGCCTCTAGAAAGTCATTCACAGAATACACTTTGTATATGTACACTGCGTGTCCACAAGAGCAAGAGTAACTTGATTAGAAAGAAAATATGGATTTAAGATTAATTGGGCTTTAATGTCTGCAGTGAAAACGCTGTCAGAGGAGGAACGACACCCAAGACTTTTGGTCTTATCCTTTGTTGCCTACAGAGAAACAGGAATCAGAACTGGTCATAAAAATTCATGAATAGGGCACCCCTGACAAAAGATCCTTGCTATCTGCAGTGGAATGGCTTCATTAATCATGCCATTAAGCAACAGTTTGACACATTAATTGGGCTCAGACTTCATAAATGAAGCCTGCTGTGTGTATGTGTACACATCCGAGATTGTGTTGGTCCGAATGTCTAAATATGTTTGTGTGTGATGTTCACCACTTCCCGTTACACAATGGTCCTGTGTACCCTCAGTAAATATGGGGCTGATTGGAGGACAGGGTCAGACAGAGTCACACACAGCCACTGACAGCAGTATCAGCCCTGCTCAACCAATCAGACCTTACGATCTCCCATCAGACCCCACAGTCAGCCAATAAGACCCTGCCATTTCTCCCTGTGCCAGCCATGACCCTCCCATTAGCGCTGCTCGCTTCAGAGAGACAGGAGAAACAAGACAACCACAACAAAAAGTTCTTCGCCTAAAGCTATTCGAGCGCGATGGAACACCGAGCCAATCTGTGCCGCGCACTGCAAGCCACAGCTATTTAGATTTACTCGCTATTGAGTTGCACTGGTTTTTGCCTCAAGCAGTCTTGAGCACAAAGTGAAGTTACCTTTTTAGTATCTGACTGAAAATGTAAAATTAATAGCGTGTTGGAAATGTGTTTACAGTGCAGAGAACTGTTTAATGGTGCTACAATGCGTCATATTCTCAGTCCCAATGAACTGGTGAATGAAGAAGAGTTTTTTGTTTACATCTGCAGCATTTTAAATGTAGAATTAACTGAAGTTGCAGCAATTTAGCTGGTATAAACAAGCACTGTTCTGAAATACAAAATCACCTCATGTTAGAGGTATAAAAAGGCACCTTGAAGCGTCAATCTGAAAATTCAACTGCATTCATTTTGAAATGCCAGAATTGTTTATAAAAACATGACGTATGATGCGCTAATTCTTTAGCCAAAATGGAAGTAACCAGGCTACTTTCAAATACAAAAATTGTTTTAAAAAAAAAAAACCTTCTGTTTTTATAGTCTATTTCCCACTACTTTGTGAATAGCTCCTTTAGCCACACTAACAGTCACATGCAAAAGATTAGGCATCCCAGTCAAATTACATGTTCTGTAAATTTTTTTCTTTTCTTCCATCCATCCATCATCTAAACCGCTTATGCTTCTGGGTCGCGGTGGGGTGCTGGAGCCTATCCCAGCTGTCATTGGGCGGAAGGCAGGATACACCCTGGACAGGTCGCCAGTCCATCGCAGGGCAGACAGACAGACACACATTCACACCTAGGGGCAATTCAGCATGTCCAGTCAGCCTTACTGCATGTCTTTGGACCGTGGGAGGAAACCGGAGTACCCGGAGGAAACCCACGCCGACACAGGGAGAACAGGGAAACTCCACACAGAAATGACCCTGGTCACCCAGCCGGGAATCGAACCCAGGCCATTCTTGCTGGGAGGCGACAGCGCTACCCACTGCGCCACCGTGCCGGCCTTTCTTTTCTTCCCCCCTCCCAATTTAGTCATATCCAATTCCACCCACTAGTTAGGACTCCCCTAACCACACGATACCACCAGCGCAGACGTTAACGCACATGCGCAGAGCGTACTTAAACTTGCGTTGTCGGAAAGCAGCTTTACAGAAAAATCCGGGTCCGAGCCCCCATGAGCGTCGCCAGTGGCGACAGTGGCAAGGAAAAACTCCCTAAGAGGAAGAGGAAGAAACCTTGAGAGGAACCAAGACTCAGAAGGGGAACCCATCCTCCTCTGGTCGACACCGGATAGCAAACAGTGTTAGTGTAAAGTATTATAGTACAAAACGGGGAAAACAGGTGGAGCAATGGTTAATTGGATTAGTTTTAGTTTATGTAGCAGTTTTAGTTTACATAGCCCAATAGACGATTACCCACCTCGTTCAATCGGATAGAAACTGTATACTGAATGGCCTCAATCAGACGTTTTCCATTCCAACTGAGCCATTAGTCGGATTCTTAGGCTGCATGTAAACGTGGTCAGTGCTGCTGTTTGCTGTCATAACTGCTTTACTTTCTTATGTACATGGTAAGACGTTCGTCTTCTTTCTCCAAACGCCACACTTTCATGTTCACACGCACAACGATTCATCACAGCTTGTGTTAATAAACCTTGGTTTGAACTGCCATCAAAGTTGTATTTGTTAGGTTTTGTGAAGCTGAAACTTGGTCAGTCTAGGTCAGATGTCCTTCATAAAACAGGCCCGAATTTTCAGCCTGTTTTGTTAGTTACTCACATAGAGCTGAGCTCGGAGCCTCTCGTCTTCAGTGGTGATTCTCTCTCTCAGCACGGCTCGCTGGATGTTGTCCTGAGCGGCCACTCTTTCTGCAGCCAGAATTCTGCTCACCTCGTCCTGCACCTGGGCCTGGGCATCTGCGTGGGCCTTCGCATACACCTGGGATCGCTCCTTCTCCAGCCTACACAAACACATGGCAATGATAGAGCTAACTAAATGCACTGTGCTGTACGCATACAAAAACTTATACAAATAAAAACACAATCACACAATCTTATCGCGACTCTTCTCCCTTTACCCCAGCCCTGATGCAACAGGTAGAGGGCAGCACCAAGATCAAGACAGATGTGCTGACAAAAGCACATGCGCACAACAAGGGCATATGGCAGCGACAGAGAAGTTCCAGGTGTTTGTTTATTTATGTGTTTGTTTACTTGCGCTTAAGAAGGTGTCGGTGGGCGAGTGGCGCGTTAGAGGCCTGGTAAAAGCCTGCCGAGCTCTTCGGAATGTCGAGACGAAATGTCCTGACTGTTTGAGCGGTCACCGGGTTCGCCCAGTTGCTAAGCAACCTCCTCCACCATCAAGCAGGCGCCACGATATGCGGAGTAAACTCGGCAAGATATAAACTGTAATCTGCAGCGCTCTGTTTTCAATCAAATAGCAGCCAAAGTCAAAAAAACAACGCTGGAGCCAAAAGGGATGAATGGGGGGAAAATATAATTACACTACCTAAACAAACACCAGCAAGACGAAGGACCTACAAATACAGAGTGATGCATACACACACACACACACACACACACACACACACACACAGCAATAGGTCAACCTACACCTCAGCAAATAAAAAGAGAAAGGGCAAATTGTGATATTTCGGTTTTGTTTGAAAATGACGCACGAGGGATGAGAGGGCAGAAGAAGGTTAGTGTATAATGTATATGTTTGATCTTTACACGGTTAAAAGACCATAGGCCATTAAAATACAGACGAAAGAAAAAGGATACAGCAATACATACCCACATGGTCCTCCACTGCTGTCAGTGGGTGACAAGAAGGGCAGGCCTGGGCAACTTCATTAGTGTCAGTATTGCTCTAATCAACCATGCTTTCTCAGAGTTTCTCAAAAGGCTGGATATGTTTACAACACATACTTCCGATAATGACTGATGTATATGATCCACGAGTGCATTTACATGCACTTAATAATCCGATAACTGCAGAAAGTCAGATTTTGTCAGTAATCTGATCAATGCATTTACATGCACTCGAGTAATCAGATAATGGGAAAGCTCCAGATCCACGAGTCAGACAATAATCAGATTTCTGGCCAATAAACTCACAGAAGATGACGTAACGTATAACTCAAACTTTATGGTGCTGCTTTAAATTGCGGCAAATATGAACGTACATCATCTAGAAGATGAAGAATATTTAAATCCTTCACTTCGTCAAGCATGTATTCGGTTTCAGCATCGCTCCAAAAGTGTTGTGCTGCATCTCGCGGCAACACTGCTCGCTTATTTCCAGTACCGCAGTCTGTTTTGGCACATGTGCAGACAATCCGAAAGAAATCAGAGTAAGAGTTCACATGCACCGAGAAATCTGATTACTGAGCAAAATTCTAGACCTTTTTGATCAGATTTCTTAATTGGATTTCTAGACCTTACTCTGATCCAAGAAATCAGAGTATGCTGTTTACATGACCATTTGAATAATCAGGAGAAATCCGATTATGATCGGACTATTCTGTGCATGTAAACACTTGGACCAGCCGCCACCTCCACAGATACTTTCTCCAGTTGCTATCATCCTCCTAAATAAGGCCTCCTCTCACATCCCTGCTTTAAATCTGCTTTAAACAGCTGCACGTGCACTTTATTACATACATAATGAACATAGCCACTGTGCCACTGTATATCCCATATCATAATCCTTCTGAATAAGAACATACTGTCCTCTACTGTAGTCAGTGCATATATGCATTTTGACTTGTTTCAATATACATATTTCATAAATATATGTACATTTTTATTAGCTGCTCAATTCTTTTAGCTGTATGTACTGTATATATGTACTTCAGTATTCGATTGCAGAGCAGTGAGGGTCCACATTTGTACTGTATATTGACCACACAAGCTCTAAGGTGCCTGTACCTGCCCCAAAAAGGCAGAGGAGTTAGACCACGCCCCTAATGGCAGTGGTAAACTCATTTTATCAACTTCAGCATGCAGAGCTGTTTCTGTAAACTACCGTGAGCGAACACTTTTACAGTTTTTAATGCACAATTGCTGTTTATTTACTGAATTTAACATATTGGGAAAGAATAAACAGAAAATGTGGCAAGTACACATTTTTCCAATATATTAAATATGGTCAGTAAACTGAGAAATTGAGCTCTAAAATTTACAGAAAACTGCCTTATTTACGTTTAAGCCTGTGTTAACTTATTTCCATTTTTGTTCCAACAACAAAACATGTAATCTGAGCTGGGGGTGTCCAAACCTTGTGCATACGTCTGTATAAAAATATGCATGAGGCTTCCTTTCTTGTTGACTGGACATGGCTATTTTTCTGAATGAGCATGTAAGCGCCATTCAGCTTGCGAAGCGCTTATTATTGTTTATTGAATCAGAGTAACAATAAAGCGCGACTAACGCGTGACACATTCCTTCCTGGGTTTTCTTGTTCAAAAAGGTAGTTTGTGACACAAGACTGAACAAAAGTCACTTCAATTTTCAGCTTTGTTAGTTCACGATCTTTACATAACAAATAAACGCAGCAACGGCATTCATAAATCACATTATTAAAGGAAAAGAGGGGATAAAAAGGCTGAAATGACCACAGGGCATCAGCCTTGAAGATGTAACAGCTTTCTGGATGAACTAGTTTGATTAGAGTAGTGGTTCTCAGTGCTGGTTGTGCAGCAACACTGCCCCGCACGTGTTACCGCATGTCCCTGCTCTAATATGCCCAGTTCACCTCAGAAAGGGTTCATTAACTAGTTCATTAGGTGCATTAGGTGTGTTGGGAGCAGGGGAAACTCTAGCGCAGGGCAGCAGGTACTCCAGGATGGGGCCGCATTCACAAAAACTTAAGAAAACTCATAATGTTCTCAAATGCAATTCTCGAAACGCTTAAGAAGTTCTCAAACATTCTCATATCATAATTAATGTCTTAAGATTTTTCTTTATTGTTTTCTTATATAGCCTGTATTGCCTTTTACAGCTTACCATAAACAACCCAATACACAGTCCGAATTTGTATTAACTGTTATTTCTTTTATTTAGTTTAATTCGCTCTGAGGAGCAAAACAGGGGGAAAATATCAAACCAAGCATTAGCAAAATTTAGCAAACAAGAACTGGAGGTGATGGTGGAAGAAAGGGCCAACAGGAAGAAAACGCTTCTTGAAAAATATAATAACTGTGGGGTGACGGCGGAAAGTGAGAGACAAGGATGAGGAGCAGCACAGGCGGCGTTCGTGTTTGATAAATTTAGGTGCTGACCTCGTCAACTCTTACAGCCTAAGACAAGCGTGAGGCTGTCATAAAGATAAGAACACTTTTAAGAACATAACGTTTTCAAGAATAACACTTAGAATAGCCCTTAAGACAAAAAATTAGAGAATTCTTCGTAAGTTATTTGAAGAATAACAATTTTTCGTATCTTTTTCCTTAAGGCTGAAGTTACAAAAAAATGCACATTTAAAATGATTTTCTTTCTTGAGACACTTTTGTGAATACGGCCCCAGGACTGGGAACCACTGGACTAACAGGTTTGGCAAAGGGCATCCATGTCATTCTCTCAGGGACAAATGGGATGGTTTGTGTGTCGTCACACTGCACCATATTTTAGCTCAAACCATGTTCGGGGTGTCAAAACACTCAGCTAGTCAGATATCAGCACTATTGTCTCGCTGTAACATGCACATGGAGACAAAGGCCCAATCCCATTTCACCCCTCGCCCCTACCACTGAGCCCTTAGCCCTCTGTTTTTTCCGCATTCACATCTAGGGGTAGGGTGTCCCAATTTTTGTTGAGATAGAGGGGTAGGGCTAAGTGTTAGGGCTACATGGCCCTCCAAACAGAGGTTTTTCAGAGACTCCAAACAAGGTTGTTATGAGAAAAAAGAAAAAACGGTGAGATGGCGGCGCGAGCGACCGAAGAAACCCACAAATGTGAGAAGTTTCTCTGTTAAAACATCACAATAACCATCATATTATCTTAGTTTAATGTCGTTTCAGTGTGTTATGGTCCTTTTCTTCGTAACAAGAATTAAAAAAATGGCTAAAAGTATGCTAATGTCTCGGTAGCTAGCTAGCTAATTTTGCCGTTCCACCTTAAATAGTCCAGCAGTTCTGAAGCCTGAAGCACCAGAATGTAACTGCTTCACCACTTAAGGTGGAACGGGAAAAATTCGAACAAGAATCTGGAGAATATCTGACTTTGGCTTCATATCACTGAATAATTAGCGGTGGGTGATAATAAATAATTGCCCCCCTCTTTGAAGGCATATGATTCCCTAAATGTAACTAAAGCCCAGCAGTGAGGAGCTGAACTTTACCCTCCTCTGCTGGCACTGCAGACTGGCAGGGTCGCCTACAGAGCAGCGCTGGTAGCTGTTAATGAAGTAATGCTCTTTTTATTTTTGTTTTTTTTTTTTTATTTGAGGGTCCCATTTCGTAGGGCAAGATTTCAACCACTACCTTTGGTAACTCAGTTCCAAGGGGTTAGGGTGACACTCGAAAACAAGGGGTAGGGGTAAAAAGAAGAAGTGGGATTGGGCCAAAAAGACATGCTTAGAAACAAGTGTGCACTCAATATTTTACCTTTCTGTTTACTACTAATGCAAACAGGACCCAAACAAGACAGAGTTAAACTAGTATCTGGTTAAAACAAACTCCTCCACTTCAGAAGCTTAGGATACCAGCTAGAGGACTCAAAAACCCTCTCAGTGTAAAAGTAAAAGAACAGTTTGACCAACAACACTTACACAAGTAACAGTGAAATATTGAAAGTGGGCTAGGTGTCTCATTTTTAACCACGTTAGCATTTCTGGTCGAGCTAGCCCTTTCAGCAAAAGCCATTAAGAGGAAAAACCTAAAGGAAGGTCAGACCACAATGAGAACTAATGGGCAGAGGTTTGCGGAAAGGAAAGCAAGGCAAAACCTTGCCGGTCGGA